GCAGCCGGCAGAGTCCCGGGAGATATCAGCGGCAAGCCCACAGGTCCGCCCGCTGCCTCCCACCCCCTAGCCGGCCGAGCCCGGGACCCAGGGGCGACCACCCCCGCCGTTGATCTGTGAATAATTAACCATGAAATGTATTGGAACCATCAGGTAATGTTGTATCTGTACGAGTTGGATATCAATAACTTTGTTTCTTTTGAGATCCATCATGGTGTAGCTGCCATATTTGGCTGAGTGTCCTTCAGAAATGCAAGTTATTGCTTAATTTACATTTGATAGCAAAGGAATAAAATAAATAAATGTAAACGTATTCACCAGGTGAATCAGCTCGCATGTCACCACCAAGAGTCACAGGTCCAGATTCAGAAGCCTCCTGGATGATATCAGCTTGCTCTAGCTGCCACTGCCAGCTCACTGTTGGAATTAAGAGCTTTGCCTGACGTCGACAGAATGTCTGCTTGGACAGTCCCTGCACATTGAAGGCACCCAGGAACTAAAATATGAAAAGTTACGTCATGAAATGAGAGATGCACAGACCTTATCAAAACTAACCTAAACATTGTTGGCCTATACCTTAGAAATCTGGCTAAATGATGAGCCAGACTTTCTGGAAGATGAATTTCCGTCATGGTCCCTGTGTCACCAGACACACAGCAGCTGGGAGCTCTAAACTGGGTGGCTATATAAAAAACAAACAAACAGCACATTTATAAATGTTTAAAAGAGCATAAAAGCACGTGTAACAATAATCTGTAAAACAAATTAAAGGTAATAATAAAATGTTTACATAGAAGATTATTAAAAATAATTCACCTTTAGGGCTGCAACAAACGATTATTTGGATAATCAATGAATCGGATGGGATCTCGACACGATTAATCGATTAATCGGATTACATAGGGACATTTTTAAAAACTGCTAGGGAAACGTTATTTTTCTCCTTCCTTCACTTTATTAAACACATTATTAGAAAACAGTTCAATAGCAGAAAAACAACATGCCATCACCTAAATTGTCTTATAAGGTGTATAGACAGAGACCCTAAGCTACATCTATTTGTGACCTAAAATGCTTGGTCCAAGTTAAACAGCTTAAGGGCAATTCTCATCTGTTTTGTTTGATCTCATCTGTAGACATTTATTATAATTGGGGATGTCAAACAACTAATTTTTAAATGTAATTAAACATAGGCTGTGAATTAATCAAAATTGATCACTATTTCCAAAAATGACTGAAAAAATAACAAATAAAACAAAAGTAAATGAATGCCATCCTCCTTGCGATGATGCCCTGGGCAACTGCCATAAAGTCACATCAAGAAATGCTGCTGATCATTCCAATGATCCCAAATAGACTCACATTAGGCCACATGAAAGCAACTGAACCCAAAAATATATTAACCAGTATATAACTGCACTCTCACACAACACGCCTGCAGCAACAGTTAGGACTCCTCCCTCCCTTTTAAAAGCGTTTTTGCTTCTGAGGACATTGTGGTTGTAAAACCACATGCTAGTAGTCTGGCCCCGGTGTGATCAACCAGTTTCTGCGGGAATGTGACGGTGGAACCGGTTCGCAGCAGCGCGAGTCGTCCCACCCCCGACCATCTAATAGTGTCGCGCTTACAGTTTTATAGACTTTTTTTTACGAGCTTAGGGCATGTCTAGTGTGTGTAATAATCCGGGGCTTGGGTGAGTCACTTTTGAAAAGTTTTTAACTTACCCGGACACCGAGCTCTCTCCTTCCTCGCTGATGATTCAGACATGCTTGCGTTTAAGACGCTGTAGTACTCCCGTGCCATGCTAAGTCTGACCTACAAACGTTGAATGTCTTCGCCTGATTTAACTGAAAATGCTCCCAAACTTCAGAAGTTTTTACTTTTTTGGGGTCTCGCTGCTTCTGCCATGTTCCTCTTACAAACACCTGCCGGCTCTCCACCGGTCTGCGCGCAACGGCGGGCGGGAGGGGAGGGGGCTTTTGGAAGAGTTGCGCAACACAACGAATCGATGACGCAATTCGTTGCCAACGCTTTTAGTAATCGATTTTCATCGAATTTATCGATTCGTTGTTGCAGCCCTATTCACCTTTGCTACAGGTAAGGCTTCACGTCAGCCTGGACAAGAGCATTCTTGCAGCTAAATCAGTCTGACAGCCAGTGTCTTGGGTAGATTTAGCCTGAAAAAAAAATAGAAGCACATTGTTGTTGTTTATAAAGTCAGATAATATACAAAAGAAACTGTCAGATACAGGCACTTTATAACATTCCTAGTGTGTGATCATTATTATAACGTAAAAGTCAGTCACGCATGATGTGGAGAGCCTGAAATGTGACCTCCTGAACAGAATTCCTTACAGAACCGGGTCACGCTGTGCTGGATTTCATGCTGTAATGCTGTCTGTCAACTAGTGCTGCGTCAGTTAGAGCCACTTTTGCAGAATTACCAACTGACACAAAAACAACCCGAATTTTCTCAGAGCCTGACAGTAATAGTCATGTGGACCGTTTCGTCAGCCAGGGCTTCGAGATATGTTCCGATTCGCCGCTGATTCTAAACTTACATCCCGTTCCACATTTTGTGAACTTGACAAATTAGCCCGAAGGAAGTGCAGACCTAAGTGAACCACGTCTCTCAAACTTTGCATTTAGGTAGGGAATTGAGCTGCAGTATTTCTGCGGTCAGGTCTCTCTACGAGTCCGAGAGCTCCACGAGCGGTCAGCCCGCGCAGCAGCTAGTAGGCACCGCATCGGTCAGACATGCACCGGGCTGACCGCTGGGGAGAACCGGGTGGAAGAATGGAACACAGAAGTGTCCCTCCAAGAGCTCCGTCATATTTCAACCCATTTTTATGTTAAAAGCACTGGGTTTTACCCTTGTACCCATCGACATATGCCCTATTATTTATTTTACCATATTTTACATCTAAATTTCATGGTTAAACAGTACATGCTACATGTTAAAATGGTAGTTAGCTAGCTACTTCGATAAACTCAGCTAGTTTAAAGGCGGCAGTGACCTAAAATACATACATTTAATTTAACTTACCGAAAAAAATGAAGTGGAGACTCCTTGGACGCTCTATTAGTGCAATTAATGCCACAGCAAGTCATTTTGTCCAACAATTGCACAAATAATATCCAAACAAGAATACACACACACAGAGACTCAAAATCCCGGAGCAGTTTCCAGGCCAGACCGAGGCTCTACTGAGGCCTTTCCACGGAGCTAGCTCTGTGGTCACGTGGGTCTGATGCTCATTAATTATACAGAATTTTAGGCTTTTAATACACTTAAACAGAAGAGTGAGAAAAACATTCACCCCCCTCAGAGTTGTCATGAGTGTAAACTAGATCATTTAAACAAAAACATGTTCTGGTACCAGGCTGTAAACATGTTTATTTCTGCTGTGAAATTGGTATTTTTAACATGGGAGTCAATGAGGATTTGCTCGCTTCTGACACCAGCCCCTAGTGGATGAGGGTGGAACTGCAATTTTTGGTATTTCTGGGTTGAGACCCATTTTAGAGCCGCAATGTGGGGGCTTGGTTTTGATAAAAGAAGCTAACGGCTAGTCACAACAGGGCTTGTTTAAATCAATTAAAATCAATTCAAGTTTATTTATAATGCGCCAAATTACGGCAAGAGTCGTCTCAAGGCACTTCACATAGTAAACATTCCAATACAGGTCAGTTCATTAAGCCAATCAGAAAATAGTTTCCAATATACGGAACCCAGCAAACTGCATCAAGTCACTGACTAGTGTCAGTCTTTGCAGCAATCTTCATACTAAGCAAGCATTTAGCGACAGTGGAGGGAAAAACTCCCTTTTAACAGGAAGAAACCTCCAGCTCCCCTCACTGGGGATCAAGAAGACAGAGCACACACACGCACACACACACACACACGCGCGCGCGCGCACACACAGACACACACACACACACACACACACACACACACACAGAAGACAAAGTAATGTGTCTATAGTTACATTGTGATGTCTTAGTAAATATTCTATTTGGTGAGAGATAAACTTTATTGTATTTATCCTAGTGGATCTATAATTAAACGGGTAAACTAGTAGTAGCACATCCAACGTCAAGGAAAGCAAAAAGTTATTATCAGCAGAGGGAGAATGTTTTAGTGGTTAGCAGCAGTGTGCTAGATGATGGCCCCCTCCATGAGGCCACCACAGCTCAGCAGAACATCGTTGTAGCTTCTTCTGGGGAAAAAAACACTTAGAGAGAAAATAAAGTTAACAGTTGAAATAGCAGGAAATAATACAGTTAAAGAGCAGATAGTAGAATAAAGTAGTAGAGTGTGAAAAGTGGTCAGTGTGTCCTTCAGCAGTCTAAGCCTATAGCAGCATAACTACAGAGATAACTCTGGATAATCTATCCTATTTAGATGGAGGCATGTTGGAGGCAGGGCAAGGGAGAGTCATCTTTACCGACTGTACACTCCACCTCCCTCTACTCCCCCACTTGTCCTGATCTAGGCTAACATCAGATTTTAACCATAGGCCCTATCAAATAAAAATGCCACACGTAAAGAGGAATTAACATGATGAACTAAGGCATCAATTTGTGAGGGGCTAGAACTGAAAATATTGCCCTCTGCTACATGCCTCTGAGATGCTGAGGACAGTAAAGATGGAACAGTTGATTTAAAAGATGCAACTGCGTTGTCAGATAGAGACCGACTATAATGAAATTTACTTTCATGTCTCGAGAACTCAGTTATAAAAAACTCAAAGGTTATCAGAAAGTGGTCCGAGAGGACTGGATTATGTGGAAAGATTGTTATTTCCTCACACTCTATGCCATAAGTCAGCACAAGGTCTAATGTATGATGGCAGGAGTGGGTGGAGCTATGTATTCTTTGAGTAAAACCAATTGAGTCTAAGATATTACTAAAGGCTACATTGAGGCTATCATTTTCAATGTCCACATGAATGTTGAAATCCCCCACTATAATGACCTTATCAGTATTTAGCACCAAATCAGATAAAAAATCAGAGATCTTATCCAAAAACTCAGAGTAAGGGCCTGGTGGACGATACAAAACTACAAACAAGAGTGGTTTCACAGTTTTGCAATCTGGATTAGGAAAAATAAGAATAAGATGTTCAAACGAACTGTAACTATTAATCTGTAAGGGACTGATTAATAAGTCCGAATGAAAAATGGTTGCTACTCCTCCTCCTCGCCCTGTACTTCGAGCAATATGATGATTTAAATAATTAGAAGGAGTCGACTCATTTAAGCTAACATAGTCCATTGTTACACTGGCACTTGTTCCGATGGGACTTGCTACAAAGTGTCTTCAAACAAATCCAACGTATAAAAACTTGTAGCAGTTCGGTTTGGCAACTTTTACTGTTTATAAGCACCTGTATCCAGGGACAGATGCAGGCTGCTTAAATTAAATGGTAAATGGTAAATGGCCTGTATTTGATATAGCGCCTTCTAGAGTCCTGGAACCCCCCAAGGTGCTTTACAACACAATCAGTCATTCACACATTCACACACTGGTGGGGATGAGCTACAATGTAGCCACAGCTGCCCTGGGGCGCACTGACAGAGGCGAGGCTGCCGAGCACTGGCGCCACCGGTCCCTCCGACCACCACCAGCAGGCACACACACACACACACACACACACACACACACACACACACACACACACACACACACTTACACATGAAGCGATACACTGATTTGAGCTTTGTACATAATTGAAACGATAAGCTGTTTGTAAATGGTATGTTCCATCAGGATGCCTCACACATCAACGTGAAGGTGATGCAATTATTTTATCAGTTCATGTTGTAGACATCAAACAGAAGTTATGGTGTGTGTGTGTGTGTGTGTGTGTGTGTGTGTGTGTGTGTGTGTGTGTGTGTGTTTTAGAGAGAGGATTTGTGTTCTCAACAACTCCTTGTTGAAGTTTGTGTAAAACTCTTTGCCCTAGAACCGTGTCTGTCTGGACTCTCGGGGGATGGCATCAGTATACATGTTGAGAGAACATCCTCTACACAGCTTGGCACTAATGAGGTCCCATGGCACGAGGACACATTTTGGATAGACAGTTTCTCTTGATCTTCAGAACTCCATTGAGCTTATTAAATAGCCACAGTTTGGTGATACACTTCTCATTTTGATTCTCAAGTGGATTACCACGGGAGGACAATGACAGCTGACTTCTAGGGACGGGAATCTCTCCGTCAAAGGACACATCAGTACAATAAGTGATGGACAGGAATGATGCCTTTCTGAATTAGATTTGATGTGATTTATTTAACACATGCAGGCAAAACAAGTCATATAGTCATTCTGAAAAGTAACTGAGCAGACAGCTCATCGGAGATTTTAGTTGTGACCAACAGTGTTGGATCTAAAGTCCAAAGCTTCAGCAGAGGCTTCTGTAGCCACTGGGTATGTATTTCTGATGATGATGACTGTACCTAGTACGTACTTTTATCTGAGTCACTTTTATGCCTGGGACCATAGAGCCAATGTGACTTGCAAAAATCAGTTGTCGGATCTGTCCAAAGGACGTTCCTCCTGAAACTTTGTCAACATGCCTGTAGGTAACTTCCAGTTTGGTGTTATATACTTTGCTTTCAACAGGTGTGTTGTCCTTAGTTGTCTTAGTTGTCCACTTTGTCTCAAACTGTGTTGCTATCTGGTACAAATGTACCCAGCCCTGTGTAGGCTGCTCCGGGCTCTTTGGGCACCATTCATAATTACCATATCTCTCTCTTCAATATGTCATCCGTTTTCGTCTCACATCCATGTCCATGTCCAGTGGACCTTAAACTATTTAATAAAATGTCCAACTTCAGTTGCTAGCCTTTGGCTGTGTGGACGTGGTATTGTGACCTGTCCCTTTAACATGTCAGTAATAGTTTTACAACTTTCCAGAGATGACGCGTCTTGACACTTAGCAGCACTGCGGCTACGTTTCAGCCTTTAAACGGGCCGACTGATTACCAGGCTGGAGACAAAAGTTAGTTTTAAATTGTCACGATGATCAAACAATGTAAAGGGTACTAACATTTTATTCCAAGCCCGTTTCATTAGTTTGCTTTTTAAAATTATCCTTTTGAACCACGAGTCAAAAGCAATATCTCATTTCTATTACTGATTTTAGTAATGTTTGCTTTATATTATTAGTACGATTTCCCATTTCCAGTTATTTCGGTGACGTTACCGTGTTTTTGTTTGCTTAATGGAAAGGTACCCACTGTTTTATCCACATATGTTTTATTCAACTAACTAGGAGTCATCTGAATACAGTTGAAACAAAAACAACTTAAATATTGAGCAAATATTCATTTTCATGCTGCTTTGGCTCTCTTTCACAGTTCCCTGCCAGCTGAATTTGACTGGACCAGAAGGATATGTAGAAGCTCCACCTCAGCTCAGCTCTTCCTTTCAATCAACCACAGACTGCAGTTACATCATCTCTGTCTATATGGGGTATGGAGTGGAGGTCCAGGTAAGAACCAGACCACAGCTTCCTCCCATATGAAGTACGCAGATCTCAACTGCACAAATCTTTGGATGGATGACTGTGGAGATCACTGAGGTTCCCACAGATCACAAATTGTATCATGCAGGCTAGATGTAACTTAAAAGGGTTCTACGTTTTATTTTTTACAAAAGGAAACTGTTTTTTGATTCTTTATATCGCACGTAGAACTTTGTTTGGGCTCAAAAAGGCACAGGAGCCTAGCCTGGCAAGCCTTCCTACGTATTGTAACAGCTGGTACTGTCACTGCTATAATACAGTAAGTCACCACAAGGTGGCAGTACTTGTCAATATAATCTGTTCTATGTTGTATGCCAGGGATTCCCTAAGTGTGGTGCTCGCACCCCTGGGGGTGCGAGAGCTGCCGCTAAGGGGTGCGTGAGGTGAAAAGTGTAATGGCTGCGGAGCTCAGAGAAGTCTGTCAGGTGTCACCATTAGCGTAGCCAGAAACTCATTTGTGGGTGGGCCTAAGAAAAAGTAAGTGGGCCCAATAAATGTAATTGAAAACAAGTATATTTAGCTTGTGTGTGTGTGTGTGCCTGCGTGCGTGTGTGTGTTTGTGTGTGAGTCATCCGCATAGCTTCATAATAACAATGCGCCGAGCTTCAGCGCTCTGGCCTGCGCACTCCGACATGTTCCATATTTGATCATTTTTAACGGTGTTGGAGGAATCTGAAGGTGGCGAGTCATTCTGGCAGATTGTAATTAACACCTGTCTCATGCAGGTGTTCTGACGTTGTAAACCTCACACACAGAACATTGTGGATGTAACTAAATAAATCAAGACATGATTCCCATTCAGGCTATTAACAGCGCGCTGAAGATCTGAAGTTCAGAGTGCGTCTGTCAGAGGTCAGACGCGTTCCAGCGGAACCACGGCTCACGGGTGCACATGTGAGCACATCTGGGCTGGGCAGAAGTCATTTTACAACACTGGTTTAAATAGCGCCGATAACGAGACGCGGTGACTGGAGCGGCTCGTGGAGCTGTGCCGCGCACACACACACACACACACACACACACACACACACACACACACACTGATTCAGTAAGCACACGCTGCGCAAACTCTAAAGTTGCGCTGCGCCGTCAGACTAAGGGCGCCCCCACGGGGTGGCCAGGGGTGGCCATGGCCACCCTAGAAAATTGCTGGCCCCCCCAGGAAAAGCCAGTGTTAACAAATCATATTAATGTTCAGTCAACCCATTTATTGATCTTGTTTATTCAAGACATAATTGTAAAACTAAATAAAAATGTTACAATTAATGAGTAAAGAAATAATCACAGTTAAAAATATACATATGTTTCTGCTGCTCACCGTTTAAAAAAAGGTTTTATCTCCATAGGTTTTCTTTTTAACACAGCAACACAGGTGAATTAACCTAAAAAAATCTATTTTTTTATTAAATTATAGATAGCATATTAAATAACTGAAATGTATATTTCTGAAATGTTTGAGTTTGTAAAATTTATGTTAAATGTTTTGGATACCTACTGTTATTTTAATAAAAACGAATAAAAGAGCAATGCAGCACATCGCTACAGACTAAATTCTCCCAGCGTTACCACAAGGACCAATTTGGTGTGCCACCCCAAAAGTTTCTTTGGCCCCATCTGGTCACCCCAATCAAAATTTTCTGGAGGCGCCCGAGCGTCAGACTTAAAGCAGGAATGAGCGCTGCACAGTGACTTTGGGAGGATTGGTTTCCCACAAACCTTAAATAGGCCTGAATCCTCAAACACAGCACCTGTGGAGTTCCACGATCAGGCTGAAGACAAAATAATAAAAAAGAATTACTCAAAAACAACCAAATAGAGACTTTTGTCAATCCTAAACTCTTCACCAAGGTTTATTTTGATTTAAAATAAAGAACACATGTTCATGTAACGTCTTATGAAACTTATCTCATGATTTAAACCATCTAATCAACATGAAACAACACTAAGGACAAAGCAGTATTCATCAAAAGTATTATTTGAACACACACAAAAAACATGTTGAACCCCAAAAATAGAAAAGAAACCGAGCCGTACGTAGGAGTAGGCAGCTGGCCCGTGGGACAGTCGAAGCCCCGGGACTTTAAAGTCCGAGCTACAGCAGCCACCTGTTGACGACATCAGCGACCCCTCTACGCCGAGTCACGGCACCAAAATGTTGGGTATGTTTTAAATCCTGAAACTTCACCCTGAAATGAAACCACACACAGGAGAAGGAGTCGGTAGGTTTTACGCTGTGAGGAGACAGCGAAGAGATCGGCCGGAAGCCTGTCCAAGGCCCTCGCCCGATCAACTCTGGCGTGTTCTCTGCACCACAGATGGTTTTATTGAAACACAGGCATACAGAGACAAAGGACCATGCATCATTGTCCGCATTTGACCAATAAACGCTGTTGCTTCTATCTAAGGCGGGATCTTGTAAAAAGGAAGTCTCAACTTACAGCGTGGCTGCTAGCTTTACCTGTTGCCAAGCAGGGCCTTCCCAAAGGAAGTCTTAATTTATGACTGACAGCCAGAAACTCGGTTACCAGGGATACGAGTCGCCACACAGGCTATCCCCCAAGCCCATGCTCTTCAGGCCGCATTCCAGAGCTATGAGGAAAGGAGAAAGAACCCTGTGGCTTTCTTATTAACATATGATTACTTAAAGAGGAGCATTTAAAACAGTAATGCATCAAAATACCTAACACACACCAATTTCATGTAGACCCACTGAACAGGGCCTTTCAGACTATTGCACCCAGACTTTGGACCAGTCTACCTTCTAATCTCCGTCTCTCTAACACTGTAGAGGTCTTTAAAATCATCTAAAAACTCACCTTTTCATCCAGGCGGTCCCTCCCTAAATGTTTCAGAAAGATGGCTTTGTTCGGGTTCACACCTTCACTTTGTTTATACTCATGATTTTATTTTCTACGTTTATCACTGCTGTTGTTTTTATCATGTTTTTATTGGTTAGAGGTATTTGCCCTGATCTTTATCGTGTTGTACAGCGCTTTGTGATTCATATCTGTGAAAGGCGCTCTATAAATAAACTTTTACTTACTTACTTTTACATTTGACTGTTAGCTTTACGGTGATAGGGAGGTGGGGGTTTGGATGTTTTCTGCTGTTATTCTGAAACCAGAGGCTTGACTTTGCTTGAGCAACACAAACTCAAAAAGGGTTGTTCTAACAAAACATTTTGTCATTTTAATGATCTGGGGACACACCGTGGAGATCAGGTAAACAATGCTGACTTAGAGCCACCAGCTAATCTGGCTCACGGCTGCCGTGACTCATGGCTGGCGAGCCAGGGACACGCTGTGTATGCTGTGCGTAAACACGGATTACAAGCCGAAGGAGACCCACGTCCGAAGTTAACATTTGAGAAGAAGTCCTCAGAGGAGCACGTCATCTCTGTAATATGTGGAGAACTACATCGCTGTTAGTACAGTGTTCATTGTTTTTTATTCAAACTAACATCAACTGCAGCAACGGTGCAGCTAGTCTCTTCTAAGTCTTAGTTGAATTAGCAGACTCCAGGCTTCCAGGGCGCACTACTGCCCTCTGCTGGTACTTTTAGGTTACAGTCATAGTCCAAATGCACAAAGTGGAGCTCGTATGTCCCTCAACAGCTACTGTATTTCAAGAAAGTGGATGACCATGGAGCGTCAACCACAGTTTATATATTTAAAAATGTATAATTTCAAGCTGAGAGGAATATTTAGAATTTATGTTGGTGAGAAATATTAATTAAAAAATGCATTAAAGGACATTCAAGTGATTTTAAAACTGCCAAATTTCTCAAAATTAAAATAGAAGCTTCTATTTAGGGATGATAAACACAGAGCAATCTCCCCAGGAACACTTGTTAGGCCGTGTGGCAGCGGAGCGCAGATTCAGCCAGAACATTAAAACAGCCATGAGCCTGGCTAAAGCCTGATTCATGCTCCTCCGTCTGCGTCAGAGCGGAGACACGCAACGTCCTAGCGGACCTGCCGGAGAGCTCCGCAAGGACGGACGGAGTCGAGCTCTCTTTTCTAAACATCCGTCAGTCGAGACGGACAACGCAAGCTTGTGATTGGTCAGGACGCCGCTGTCGTCTACACCGCCGGCATTGCGCCCTCAAAAACATAAAGAGAGCCGAGGATAACTAGCGGCAGACACGGAGAAGCTTGAAGAATACCTCGCGAAAAAACTCTAAAAATATGAACGTTTAATCCCCCGTGACTGGAGGAGTGAAAGGACGAGCAGCAAGCGTTTTATTTGTGGATGGAAACGACAGGAAACGTGGGTTTAGAGGTGGGGAGCGCATGAAGAGGTGGAGGAGGAGGAGAGACAAATATGTCCGTGTTAAAAGTCTCTTATATACACAAAAACACAATATAAGCACACGACCTTGGACCGATACATGACAGGATACCACAGAACAGCACTACGCCCTCTGTTGTCCTGGCGGGGAATTGCTTTGCAACACTCTCCAGGAGACGGAGAAGTATGAACCAGGCTTTAAACAGAAGCTATTGATTTTTGTTTCAATTGCTCCTCTGGTAGCATGTGTGTTAGTCATGAGCAGTATAAATGGTATATGGTAAATTCAGCCTATAAATTTAAACACATGGTCAGAAAGAGATATAAAACTTAGTGCAGTAATAAACTAGTTAAATACGTGGTCTCCAACAAACAAAGGCCCTAGAGGGCCTAGTGTCTGTGCATCACCCTGTGCCCCCATATTCCTACATCCATCTCTGTACTTGTTGATAATTAGCTGCACTATGTCCTTTCTTGCCTTACCCAGCTTCTCTTCTTTCTTTCTCTTTTCCTTTTTCTCTGACATTTTCTTTCCCTGTTGTCATCCCTCGTCAGAAGGCTGCTGAGAGACATCGCTGACATGATTTGCTGTTCATTTTTTATTCTAAATACATTAGCCAAGGCATCTGGAAGGTCAGCACTGTAATGGCCATTGTATATTTTATGAGCAGCAGGAA